TTTATATGCTCTTCTATATACTCTTCACAGAAGCTCTTTGAAGCCAGTATTATCTCCAGTTTACAGTAGGAACTTAGACGCTCACATAGTTGAATGGCTTGCCCAAGACCACAGGACCCCAGACTGGAGTCTAAGTCCCTTGAATCCAACTCTAGAAGTTTTTCCCTTCACACAGCAGCTTCTTGTGGTCGGTCAAGGAGGTCAATTTGAAAAGAGGGCTTGTATAAGGCGGTGGTATTCACACTTGAGAGAAGAATCAAAAAGACATCATGATGCCATCCTGCTTGCAGAATTGCTCAAGACTTTGTACGCCCAGAGCTGCCTCCTTTAAGTAAGATCCCTTTATCATGATACATTGAAAATATAGAGGTGACTTAACCTCAAGGAGATTGTACTTGGCCATGAACATCTTGTCCATATCTTATGCCCATCTATGACAAGGATTTTTATTTATACAATGAAAACAATTTTTTGTAGTCTCTCAAGTGGTCCTTACTTAACTGTAGAATGCTTTAAAAGACATGCTGTCACAAAGAAGCTTACATGTAAAGGACCCAGAAAAGCAAACTCCTCCTTTACTTTCTGGCTAAAAGCATGGGCAAATAAATAAAGCAATTAGTTTTAGCCCAGTAAACCAGAAGGGAAGTGAGATGCGGGTGTGGAAGGAAAGCAGGGAGTATTAGTATACGTAATATTGACCACAGTACCATTTGCTGCGTAGGTCTTAATTACGTCCATTCCATGTCCCCTCATCTTCTGATTTCTTAAATTCCAAAACAACCCCAGAGAGATTTTTCTGGTTTTGCTTGGAAAGCAACACAATGTTTTTCTGCCTACACATTCTAAAACAGGCCTGTCAAATTTGAAACCTAAACACAAGCTGACAGAAATCAGCTACTAACAAATTAAGTTAAATTAATAAAGTAGACGCCTGGAATACAAGGAAACTAATTTTTTTTTTCCAGGAATCTTTCTCCTATGATGCCAGGCTAGATACAGAGGCTGAAGAAAACCTCCATCTCCACAGCAGGCCCTGCTTTTCTTTGCCATGCTTCCTAGAGAGCCCAACATGGAAACATTCCAGAACTACTCCTCCCCCTAGTGGCAGCCTCCAACCACCACCCTCCCATTTTCCAGTTTAATGGCATATTGTCACAACACTAGGAGTCAAATCCTCTCCTAGACTAAAAGGATGTATGCCTTCATAGATTGCTAGCAAAAGGGACAGAATATCCGAATGGGCCAAATGTGCAGGGTACACTTATGGGCAGCTTTCTGCTTACAAGAAGAAAGCATGACTAAACAGTTGAACTTTCTGGTAGTCCCAAAGGTATTGGGGAGATGGGGGGGTGTCAAAAGCAAGAAAGCCTATTTCAAATCCTGATTCTAACTCCCCCTTCAGAGAGCTGTGTACACTTGAGCCACAGAACTCAGTTTTGGTTTGGAGGGTTTTTTTTTTTGGGGGGGGGGTGGATTCCAGGGTTTGAACTTGGGCACTGGACCATCTCCAGCTCTATTTTGTATTTTATTTAGAGACAGGGTCTCATTGAGTTGCTTAGCACCTCACTTTTGCTAAGCAAAGCTTTGAACTCATGATCCTCCTGCCTCAGCCTCCCAAGCCGCTGGGATTACAGGTGTGTGCCACCTTGCCCAGCAGAGAACTCAGTTTTATGAATAAAATTTATAGGATTTGTTCCATGTGTATTTTATCTTAATAATTAAGATTTTATGAAGGTCAATACTATAGCTTCTTTATCTTTGCATACACAATTTAGAGAATAAGAGCAAAAATGAATGCAAAAATCTCATGACTTATATTCCTTGCCTTTCATTTTCACTATTCCTAGTTCAAATTCTCATGGTTTTGTGGCCAGTATGATAGATCACCTCCTTCTCTTCATCAACTTTGCAAAAATCCTTTTCCAGGCCTCAGGCCTAGGTAGAAAATATTGTGACTTACCGAGCAGTGCCAGTGCCTAGAGGAACTAAGGTAGTTACAAAAACTGCTAACCCCACATAAGAAAAGGACAAAAAAAGAGTAGGTTAGGCCCAGTGTGGAAGAGGGGTATATCCTCGGCCAGAATTCAGACAGGGGCAGTAATTTTATGTGAAAATAATAATAATAATAATATGAATATGGATATCTAAAAAAAACTAAGGGAGACGGGCCAGTATCATGTGCCCCTCCCACTTCCTCAGGCTCCTCACCTACCTTTCTCAAACTTAATTCACCATCCAGGATTCCAGCATTTCTAACAAAAGGTACTGGAAGCACCAGAGCACAGTGTGGAAGTTCTCTACCTGCCTTATTTTAGCAATTCCTTCTGCTCAGTGGGAAATATATACTGGGTTTTAGAAACTAATAAACTGAAATATAGGAAGTAAAGAGATTTGCCAGTGACCATTACTTAAATCACAGAAGAACCAAAATAAAGTTCAAAAGAACTCTCTTCTAGTATTCTGCTCAAAGTGTTCAATTTAAGAATCCTTTATCAAAAAGAGAGATGTTAGCTGGGCACATTGGTGTATGCCTATAATTCAGGAGACTCTGGAGTCTGAGGCAAGAGGATTGCACGTACAAGGCCAACCTTAGCAATTTAGTGAATCAGTAAGCAACTTAGTGAAATGGGGTCTCAAAAGGGCTAGGAATGTAGCTCAATGATGGTAGAACACCCCTGAGTTAAGTCTTCAATAACCTCCTCCCCCAAAAAAAGAGAGATGTTGCTATTTGAAGAAAGCCATCTATCCTAATGGGTTTGGAGACTTAGTTAGTTTTAATCCCTGCCTTCCAGTGTGCTGAAACTGAATAGTGATCTGTTAAGTTCAATCATCCTGAGTAATCAATTGAAATTTGATTATGCCTGCTTTCATTATTCTTATTTGGAAATTTTTATAGAAGCATACATATTCTTGAAACATCATAAAGATCTAAATCATAAAGTCAAGTTTATTTTTTTAATATAAAACAGCTTGAACACCTGTAGAGACTTAGAATGATATTGCATTATGTTGTATCTGATAAGATTCCTTTAAAAGAGAGTGATACTGTTTTCTAAAGTATTACATGACCTACCAATGATAAGTAAATAGTGTAGTATAGTCATCTTTCTCTTATTAGCTTCTTGGAAATAAACTAACATGTAAGTGTTTGCCTTTGGGGGGAAAAGACAGCTCATGTTTGATGGATGAGAGAGTGAATGCAGGGGTGAGTTCCATCACCATCTCGCACAGCTTTCCTTTCATCCCACACTCAGTCGCAACCCTTACTCAATGCCACAGAATCCTTACTGTCCCCAGTAACGTGATGGTGGTTTAGAATGGTACTGAATCAAGCACAAATCCTCCAAAAGCTTCCCTGTAGCTCAGATGTCCTATTTCCCTCCCCATCTTACCAGCACTGCTGTACACAACTAGATTGACTGGATGTAAGCCTTGCTTCCCCTGCTGCCTGCCTTTCCTCGGGCAGGAGGTAGAAGTAAGCCATGCAGTAGGCCCAAGGCCAAAAGCAGAATGGAGAAGGCCTGACTCAGGGCCAGACTGGCTACCCACCCCAGGATGATTGAGAGGTGACCAGAGGTGCTGCTGAACTGCAAATGCCAGAGAGTCTCAGGAGACCCAGCAAGAGAAACAGAAAAGAAAGGAAAGAATTGTCTAGTGGGAGAATGTTGCTGGGGCAGGAGATCTGACTGGTAGTCTTAAATTCACCACGAGGTCTTATGAGTTCCCCTGATTTAACTGTTTTCCTTTCTTTCTTGAAAAACAACCCCTATTGCCTGCTTGCCTCCTAGGGATGGATGTTAACATGGTATTGAGTAGCCAGTTCTTTGAGCTTTTTGAAACTAGGGAAATGGAAAGAATCATTAAGATGGAAATGATTGAGGAGCCCAGAAATCTCCCCAAAACCATCTCTGTGAATGCTCTGTCAACTTAATGCCCTGCCAGGCCTAAGCACTGATCCCCAACCCTATCCTTACCAACCCTCCTAGGTTCCCCATCAACATACACATTCCAGTTATTGTCATCCTCACCAAATCACCAAGACATCAGCTTCAAGCCATTGTTAGTCGCTAATCTACTTAATTGACATGATAAAGCAAGTAGTTCCTAGAAATGGGGGGAAAAATATCTAGAAAAGAAAAATCAGTAGACTGAGATTGCAAAGGGTTTTGAAGTTTATTTTAGGCACTTGCAATTTGATTCTTGTAATTCTTTGGGGGTAAAAATAATATCTGATCTAGACTAATTGTTCTGGAATTGTTTCTTCATGACACAAAAGGGCAAGTTTTCCCTTTATTCTGCTGGACACTTTCTTTACAGAAAGCCCTCTGTAGTATTATGGGAAATGAAAGCAATAAATAAGACCTGAGTTTTGTGCTTCATAGTATTTACAGTCTAATAAAGACTGTGTGTTTGTGTGTATGTGTATACAAAGACACATAAATAAACATATATGCATTTACACACATGCATACACTTACTGAGAACTGAGAGGTAGTTATACAATTTCTTTAAAATATGGGCATCATATACTCTTGTCAAGATCCCACCCCCAAACCTTAACAGAAGCCTCTTTCCATATCTTGAACCACTGCCTTCTTTCTACCACTGTACCAAGCCCACTTCTCCTTTATAACTCTGTATTCTCCTTAGTAAGCCTTCTATAAATCTCTCTGCACCATCTTTTTCTACCATACTCTCTCATCCCTGATGTTTTGTGGGTTATATGTTTTCAGTGCACATGTCATCTGCTTCAACTAGTAGCATTTAGATAAAGTAATTAACAGCCTGCAAAAGCAATCTAAAATCTCCTGATTTGAGATTGCAATAAAAATCACACCAACTGAAGTAGCAAGACAGCCTAGTTTCCCAAATGTCCTAATTGGTCTGTCTTAGTAGTTAAAAAAGAGTTCTAAATATACCTCAAGTTTCCTTCCTGCCTTCCCAATGTTGAATACCAAAAAGGAGTCCACTGACTTGACATTTCTTTTCTGTTGCTCCAGGATTCTTCTTCAGCCAGATGATTCCTTACAGATCTTGGCACCAGTGGAAGCTGATGTGGGTTTCTATACTTGCAATGCCACAAATGCCCTAGGATATGACTCTGTCTCCATTGCCGTCACATTAGCAGGTAACCTGGCAATCCCCATTCAGTCTGTTTAGAAGACTTCTTTGAGTGAGTGCCTATAATAATGTCACACAGGCCCAGGGACATATAGATAAATGTGACCCAGTCCCTACCCTCAGGGAGTTTCTAGTCCATAATCATAATAGGACTGAAATGTGAGGTGGAGTGAAGTGGGTGCTGTAACTGACAACCAAAGGGCGTGCAGAGACAGACAGTTCCTCCCAGCTGGAGTTGGGGTGGGTAGAATTTTGATAAGCAGAAAACATTCTGGACAGAAAGAAAAACATGAGCAATAGTGATGTGTGCAAGTGTATAGCATGTCAGGGAATGTGGAGTGTGAACTATGATTGTTAAATGCTGTTTGTGGATCCTGTCATTTCTCCTTGTTCAAAATAGACTTTGAAACCTACAGGTTACTGGAATTCTGTGGTCATGGCTTAGAGCAGGAATGTTGTTCCAGAGACCTTCTCTCTGATTCTGCTTTGCTTCAACCTCTGGGCCTAATGCACCTGCCAACACTTAGTCTTTATCGGTAGAGGTTAAACAAAACATTCTTCACGCAGGAACTAAGAAACACTGCAGCTCAGTACAGTGATCCCAAGGCTGGGGTCTCGGAGTAATGTACTTTTATAAAATTTCTTTACATGGGACAAATCTATGCCTTTGAAACTGAAAGAGACTTTAAATACCAGATGGACCAATGCCTTCATTTCTCAGAGGCCAGACAATCTGAGGTCACACAGCTGCCCAGCTAGTGTGGGGACAAGAAGGGAGCAGAGGTCCCCTAAAGCCAGCCTATTGTTCTCTCCACTGCCTTACTGATCCTATCAAAATAGGATCCTTTCTCTTAGAACTGGGCCATAAAGTCCTTGTGGCAGTGTGTCGCATGTGTTTGTATTTATTCTTTTCAATTGCTGCTCCCATCAGATGATTCAGTAGATGCTAGAAAAGCCAACATCACCCTACACTGACCTCATCCGTCCATGCTGGGATTATGTTGTCACACTGTACTCCCATCACACATGCTACTCCCTTGCATGTCTGTTTAGCAACAGTATTTCTGCCCCCATGACCTAAGGCTGATCTGGGAAGGGACCTTTAGCAGGCGGCTTTGCGAGGAAGATGAAAGTCAACAGTGAAGAAGGCAAGCTAAGGGGCTCTGGGGCGGATTAAAGACTGATATTATTAATGCCTGTTTTTCTGTGGATAAAACATTTGCTTTCCTTCTAATGTATTCCAGTTGCAATCTTTATTCTCCTCTTTTATACAGAGTCCAGATGCTCAGCACTAATTTTGTTAAACCTCTTCTGCCATCCACCCTCCACCCTCCCACCTGCCTTAGCAAGGGTACTGCTGACATCCTTCCAATTGCTGGCAAATATGGCCTTGCAGAATTAACTCTCTTGTTTATATTTATCCAGATATGGTTCATCTCTGTCATAGACTAAATACCCTTTGTTCACCTGAATTTAATACGATTAATGGGAACCTGTCTGGAATTAAGCAAGGCAATTGTAACATCAGGCTTGTCTTCAGCTCTTTGAAGAAGAGCTATTGAAGCTGCCAACAGGTTCAAAGCCAGGGAAGAGAAACAGAGCCGCCAAAGAGGCACCAGGGAAGGGGAGGAAAGGAGCTGGCTGATGAGGTATGATCATAAACAACACACCCAAGACTTAGGGAGCTGTGTCCCTGGATTTCAGCTGCTGGGATTTGTTCAGGTCTGCTGGCAAATCTGTCCAGTGGTGCCTCTCAAAGGAAAGCTCAGAATGCAGGCCTTAAGATCAGGTTTTCGCCTTTATCAGGGATTATCTTCCACACCTGCACGATGTTTACACTCACAGTGGGAGGTAACTCACCAGTTACTGTTCTGAGCATACCCTCTGCCAAGTATTGTGGGACGTATAGAAATACATACAACCTGAATTCTGTGTTCTGTGATGCTTGCAGACTAGTCAATACAGTCAATGGACATGTGATTACCCAACATTTAAAAATCACTACAGTTTGCTTTAAATATATGCATCAAGATCCTGCTCAGTGTACACGATAGAACCTAAATATAAACTAAATTTGGGGTTGGTAATCAAATTTCTGAATTTGATTACCAGTTAGACTGCTTATTAGCTTTGTGATCTTGAACAGAGTGCATAACCTTGTTGTGTCTCCAATCTCATCTGTAAAAATGAAAATACAATTTTACAGGGTTGCTGTGAGGTTAAAGAAGAGTGTAGCTATGAAAAAGTGCTAGCCAGTCACATCATTCATAATAAATGTAGTTTCCCATTCTTTCCCTACCTCTTCTAGAATGAAACACACATTAAAAGCAGTTTGAAGATGTGAGAAACATTAGTCCAAATCTGCTTCCATGTATTTTGCAGTTTAAACCTTAACACTGATGTATTCCAAATATAGACTTAGTTTGCTTGCAGTCAGATCCTCATAGTCAATCTCAATTCTGCTGTTCTTTTAAAGGAATCACTGAACTTTTACCTGGACTTTATTATAAATATAGGCCAAAAAGAAGAAAAGTATTTTGGAGGCTCAAGATAATCAGGTGTCCCCATGATTTCATAAGGAAAGTATGGACTTCTGCCTCGTCAGTGCACCTGACCAGATTCAGGGATATTTGTTAATGATGATTCACAAGAGCAGGCATAGCATGGCAGTTAAGCCTGTGAGCTCTGGAGCCTCAGGATCCAGGTTTGAATCATGGGTCTGTCACTTCCTAAGCTGCAAAACCCTGAGCAACTTCTTTAAACTTAACTTAGATTCTTCATCTGTTAAATGTACCAGAATCAGAGAGATCTTATGGAGACTGAATGTACTCATTCACATAAAATGCTTAGACTTGTGCCTGATGTGTAGCAAGTGTTTGATATCCTTTGGATATTAATTATTAGGATAATGCATAAAGCCAAAGTCGACTTTGTACAGTAGGAGAGACCCAAATGTTTCAGAGCAACTTTCTCTCCATGTCCCAGTGGCCACTAGGGAGGCTGACTTAGCCATCTGGAAAGTGCTTGGCACACTTGGATTCAGAGCAAGGGAGTTGACTTATGATGAGGAATATTTCACAAGGGCCACAGGGAGAGAGGCCTCATGAACTCTCACTGGCCACAGCAAAAACTTTCTCATTGTGTTTGCCCATCATGACTCTCAGTCTCATTTTACTTCCAGCACTTCCTTTCTATATAATTTAACTTTAAACACAAAAATACTATTTTATTTAAACACAAAAATACTATATTTAGTTTCAGACACACTAACTCCATCAAACCTGTCTTGCTCTGCATTATTTGGGCCTGCAAAATATTGTCCCTTTAGTACCTTTGCTTCTCTCCAAATGGTGTCCATGATATATTCTAAGTTTCAGATTCGAGACACCCTACAAGAGATGGCCAATGTTTCTTTATCTACCTCCCTTGTACAGCCCAGGAAATGCACAGCCATGTGGACCCTGTGGCACACACTTCCTCTATCCTGAGTTTACTTAAGTGAATGCCTGTTTTACTGCTCAGAGTATAGCTGAGATGGCCTACAGTGGAGGGAAGGATTGTAGGGCAGGAATTATGAGAATGTCACCAATATGTCACAGATCTAACATTCTGAGTATGGATTATTGTGTCCAGGTTTAAACCTGGCCAGGTAAAGAGGTGTTTCTGAGGTATACAGAGATTGGAGCGCCACGTTAGCCAGTCATATTTAGCACTCCGCCACGTTCGTTGCTCAGAAACCTTCCAAATCTGAATGGCATAGGCAGTGTTTTGAAGGAAAGCAGTAGTTTCCTGGTAAATTGCTTCAGCCTGGATCAGAGGTTAGCTCCACTTACCAGTGCAGACAAGGGCCTCTCCAGGTGTAGACTACTGATGAAGTCATAGCCAAAAGGGAAATGCTTTCAGTCGTAACTGATTTTATAAGATCACAAAAGAGATACTGTAAGGCCTGCCTGACATCATCAATGGAAAATGAGAAGAAGATGAGGGCTGAGTGTATCTTTCATTGAAAGGAGAGAACACAGATGAGCTCATCTGAATTTTTCACAGGAAGGGAAAGAGAAAAGATTTCTCCTTTCCTGGCATATTTTTCTGTGT